GCAGGTAATCAAATAAACTATTTATAATTTGCTATTTTTCTCTCAACTTAAAAATGCACTGACTATTCTGACTTGTCTATACTGCTAATTTTATGTTCCTCACTTCAAGTCATAATTCAACTTCCTCTCCCATGACTCTTTTTCAAACACCTTTTTCCATACTCCAGGAAGAGCTTTCATTTATTTCATAGTATCCTATGGTTTCTTTGTATGAAAATCAATGGGTTGTGTTTTGTCTCTATAGACTGGGAGATCACTGAGGGAATGTTTCAGAATTATTTTTCCTCTATATTCCCAGCCATTAGCACAGTGCCTGGCAAAGAGAAGATATTCATGGTGAAAAAAATGAATGGACGCACTGAATAAATGAATGAGTGAGTGAATGAATGAACTAACGAATGAACGAATGAAAAAGTGATTGACCAAAGAGAAGCAGTTGGATATGGTTCCTCAGGCAGGAAACACTGCCTGGCAACCAGGTTTCTAAGCCATCTACAGTTGCTAGCATAGCACAATGCAGAGCTATTTACTTCCCCTAAAATATAAACTGTCTCTAAAGCTATGTTTGTGCAAAGAATGCACTGAAAGAAGCATTTGTTTAAATAGAAAGATCCCCGGCAATTAGCAAACATGGGACAAATCCAAAACACACTAACGTTCCAGAGGCTTTCGTGTTTGCAGTTAGATGTATGGACAGGCTGGAGAAGAGTGAGACTCCTTCTTTGCAGAAATGGAAAGCAAGTTATTTAAATAACAGTGCTTCTGGCAATCAAGGTTATAGTCTAGAAAAGCAGAATTTGGATTTCTCCCACAAAATAGTCCTGGGAAGCTGGAGCAAGACTGGAATGGGAATCTTCTGGATTTCCCTTCACTTCTAAAAGAAAGACTCCCCCATCTCTCTACCCCAGGCAGAACAGACACAAAGATCTAGGCTTCAAGGCAAGCAATTTCTGGATCTATTACAGCTCTTGCTGTCATGACAGAGGACTGGATATGTGTGGTATAAACATGTTGCCTTGTGGTGGTAGAGGGGGTCCCATGTACCTGTCTCTATGTATGTGGCTGCATTGTGAAAATACATACATCTCAGCCTCTCCTACTATGGGTGTCTGTGCTGGCTAAAAGAGAATAGGTCCATGGCCCAGACACCTCCATCTCATGGCTACATCTGGGGACAGGATATTCCCTTACTGTCCAGGCCTCATTTTCTCTCTGCAAAGGTAGGAATGTGGAGTAGAGATTTTCAAAGAATATTCCAGTTACAACCTCTGTGATCCTCTAAAAATCAGTTATTTTTATGTTCTGTCTTTATGCTAAAGAGTACAAGGGGAAAAGAACACAAGATGGGTATTTTGGTAAAATTACAATAAATCTATGAAATCAAAAGGCTTGGATTTGAATCCTGTCTTCATCATGTATTAGCTAAGTGATTTTTGACAAATTTCTTAACCTTCTCAAGTCACCAGTCTTAAAGAAAGCTAAAACTTAGTATTTCAAAGTTGATTTTGTGATGATCCATAGCTCATGAGGAACATCCTATTCATGTGTGCATCTGTGGCACCCAAGTAACTGAGCAAATGAGTAAAAGGGACCTCCAAAATCAAACATATCTTTATGTGGGCACTGATAAATATGAGTCTACAGATAGAGAGAAAAGGGCCTCAATGACAATAGAGCTTCCCCCTGTGCAATGACCGGTGATCACCCACCACTTGAGTTTCAGTGGCATGACCTCCTTGGCTACAGGCCTCCTGGGGTGAGAGAGGAGCACAGCAGGAGAATGTGCAGAGGACAGGGAACACCTGTAAGTGGTGGATGTGGGCAGCCCCCAACAGGGCAGAGGCATCGATCACATCACCAGACGGCAGAGCCTCTCGTTTGTTCTCATCTGCCGCCCTCCAAGAACCAGCAATCTGTCAGGCACCAGCTTTATTTGTAGGGGAGGGTCATTAATTTGAATTAATAGCACTGCACTGTTCTGGGCTTCATTTGCTTTGTTTCCCTCCTGTGGCCACCACAGACTTCTTTGTTGCGTGCTTGTGTGAGTGGGGATAGACTATGAACAAATGCCCAATTAGCCAGGAAAATAAAATCTGCCTGCATTCCTGCTCCAGGCGCAGGCCTCTTCCCTACAGCCCAGAGACCACACATCACAAACTCTGACTGATTTTGCTAATTCATGCCCTAGCACCCCTTCTTCCAAGCTATGATGGAAATAACACATAGCCCATAGGAAGAGTGAAGACCAAAGATAATATAGGCAAAGGAATTGGCTTAGTGTATAGTCACGGTACAGGTTGGACAATATGCTGACTATCCTCAGGAATGGGCACATCATGCTCTGTGGAACTATATAGGTTTGGATACAACAAAGCAGTCAAGAAGAGCAGAAAAATGCATCCCAAGCAACCTTAGCCAGAGTCCCACAGAGCCAGGTACAGGAATTTCTGAGCTTAATTGGTGAGCCCCAAGTAAGCATGGCCAGCTGGCCCATTCCAAATTCTCTCTTCTTCTATGGGTGGCAGAGGTGCCTGTACCTGCTTGTCTTGCCTTTTTATAAACAAGGTATCCCTCCGACCATCAGAGAGAGGAAGGCTCAGAGAGCTGGCCCATCACAAGCTGTTCTCAGGCAGCCCCATGAGATGTCTCCCAACATTGAGCATGTCTATTTTCAAACACTGGGCTGCTCTTGGGAAATACTGGCTTTCAGAAATGAGCAAAGCTTGTTTCCTGCTCCAGAAAAAGCTTGCCATGGTTGAACTTCCTGAAGGGCCAGGAGTTTCTGCTGGACAACAAGGAACTTAGCTAAAAGGAGACAAGGCTCCCTTGTGGAACTCTTGGTTCCTAGGAACTTTTGCTTTCTAAAAACAAGCACTTTTTGTCATCTTGATGAAGTGCAAAAAGTCTCAGGCATCTGCAGTAGAAAGAGGCCCCCACAGGGATTCTGTAGCATCAATAATTCAAACTTATCCTTATACAACTATCTCTCAATGCCAGTGCATCTGTTGCCAACCTGTGAAAGCCCATTACGATTTACTGAGAATGGAGAACACTTCCGGATTTCCTCCCTCATCTACTACCTTCTCTCTACTCGTCCCTCCCCACCAGTCTCATCAAACTGCAAAAAGACCAAGAATGAGGCCTGTAGAGCCAATTGGAAGGAAATTGTTTGTAGCAGGTGGCACCACCTGTCCTCCTGTAGTTCCAGCCAAAACAATGTACTCTCCATCATTCCAAACTGTGGGAAAAGTTTAGCCAGTTCAGCAGGAACTCAGCCACATCCAGATGAAGAGAGGGGAAGAGGAAAGGTTTTTGGAGAAGACAGTATGGTTTACCCACTCCACTTTCACATTTGCCTCTAGGACCTAGTATGAGTGGTCCTCCTAGAAGCTTACTTAGCTCCCAAGATTGCAGCTTGATGTCTGGCTGAAAGATATGCCACGGGCTTTAGCTGCTTCTGGAAAGAGAAGCCTGGAGGAGCCATAAACTTGAATAGAGCTTTGCTCCTGTATGCTGCACTGCCCGACCCACTTTATTCCTGAAATATCACCATGATCTGTCTTCACTACACCGTCCCCAAATCTTTTAACCCTGGTAAAATTTTCTGAATCAAGATCTTCTCCCCGCCCTACCCCCAAATTAATTTCGTTCTCTACATCATTTGTTCCATGCTTGCTCAGCCACTATTCTTTATGCCATGAGTCTCTAATACTGCATTTCACACTTTCCAGGACATCAATCAAGGCCACTTATCAGCACTAATTTGCCTCCTTCTCCAAATCCTATTTTTCACTAGTCCCTGTGGAACCCTCTTCTCTATAACCAAAAAGGTTAAATGTCCTCTTTATGTGGAAGAACAGAGCTTGCTGTAGCCATGCGAGCTGAACTCTAGAGTCACTGTACCCATATTAAGATGATCTGAAAGTTGTAGAAATCTAAATCGAAGGAAAATTCTATTATTATCAAACACCTGTGTATCCAAATAACATGCTTTCTTCCAAATCCCAGTGTACACTGGCTCTTTTGCGCTGTACATGAGAAACACCTAAAACTGCATGGTCTAAAAATCCAGGGCACATCTCCTCATTCTCCAGAAAGAACAATAAGAGCATTAAGACATTTGCATAAGTGTGTGCCTGTCCCATCCTCTAAGTTTGATTTGGGGTCTGCAATGTAGACATGTGCCTTTTAAAACTGTTAAGCTGCTGAGCTGTCTTAGCAGTGTTGTCTGTCACTCAAGTGACAAGAAAGAGTGTCATGAGCTATATTTGGCATTGAATTGGCCCTTATTAGAGTGATATGTTCAGTTTAGTATTTTAATTTTCTAAGAGGTACAGAAAATTTGGAGAGGGTCCAAGGCAGAGTGAAAATAATTAAAGGGGTGGAGAGTGAAAACTCAGGAAAAAGGTCAAATGAGTGTGGGTTATTTATCAAAGACAGAGGAAAATGAAGGTAGGCCAAGTATCTTGAAACAAGAAAGACATTTTCTTAGGAAACCAGAGGCCATTGCTCTTTGATACAAGGATATATCACAGAAAGATGGTCTTAGATGATGTCTGAATATTAGGTCAGACTTATGTATGTTCATTACATTTTCAAATCATTAAAATTAAATAGTAAGTTATCAGCATCATTTTCTAGTATGCCCCCAAAATAAATTATCTCTACTTTATCAAATTATTTCATCTTCACAATAATTCCAAAAAAAATTTTTTTTAATTCTCCAGGAGCAAATAGCCCAAGATCAATTAGCTGTTGACCTTGACTCAGAATATATTCTGGGACACCCTAGGGTCTCTGATTTCCCCCACTGCTACCTTAGCCCAAGTTCCTCCTCCCAGAACCTCCAGGTTGGCTCTTTCTGGTAGAGAAGGGCTACCCTAGGACTTTGGGTAGAATGATGATCAGTTTTTCATTTAGATTACTGTGAAAAACAGAGGATGGAATGCCCCAGAAATAACACATCCAAATTTGACAACTTTGAAGATTTTTATGTGGGTGCCTGAGTAGATGCTGAGGCCATGAAATGAGTTAGATAATGTCTAGCGATAAGTGATGAGAGCAACTTTTGATACACTGAGTTCCAGGACCCTATGAGTCATCTAGGCAGAGCAGTCCATTAGGAAGCTGGTTACGGTACTTAGAAACTTGGGTAAATGTCTGCACTCAAGGGTTAAATTCAAATATCATTGCCCAAGTGCCAATGTGGCCTTTTAAGGCAGTGTAGGAGCCATGATGGTGTCTGGGCACAGACAGAATCCTGTGGAACATCTGGAAAGCAGAAAAGAAAATGTTGGAGTGGAGTAGAGATACTTACAACCACAGGAACATATACCAGTAATGAACATTTATGTATTGACTAACATGGTACTGACAAACCAAAGAGACTAAAAAGTAAGTAATAGCAAAAGTATTTTAATAATATCAACAATGATAATATACAGTATTAAGTATTTGTAACAATATTAACAATTCAGTGCATTATCTGCATGTACATATTCACATATTAATAAGGGATATGTATTTTCAAATGCCCATTGTCCACTGATTAACCCATGATCACAGTTTGACTACAAAAAAACTCAATTTATTCCCTAATATACAGGTCACTTTCTTACCTTAAAGTAATAAAATTAGATATCAACAACAAAAAGAAAAAGAGTACTCTTTTAAAATTTAAAATCACAGTTCTAGAGAATTCTCAGATACAAGACTTGATTAAAAATAAATCTACAGAATAGAAGAAAATTTATATTGGAAATACTAAGACCAAAGCAATCTTTGTAGAATCAGAAGACATTGGTTTAGTGGAAGTCAAAGGACTAGAAGATCAAGAAAAGAACTATCAACACCATCAATAGGTACAAAAATAAAGACTGAAAATCTTTTTTGGATTTGTCAATAAAAAGGTCATTCATGATTTTGCCAGAATAATTTTTAATATTGTAATAGAATAATCTACACACTATTGGTAGAAAAACCATCTAAAAGGTGACAAAATAAGGATATAAAGTTGAGAATACTCTTTTCAAATGTTTAGATAGTATGAAAGAGAAATTTACAATAATAATTAGAATTTAAGATCAACAAAGACTTTATTTTTTTTAATTGGAGAAACGTAGGTATGTACGGATGACACACATGGGCTAACAGAAAGTAAAGAAAAGAAACAAAACAATACAAAATAGTTGAACAGATTATAGTAAGTGGGAATGCAAGATGTGGGCAGACCTAGACAGATATGGAGAAGGGAGTGAGGACCCAGGTGGAAGAGACCTTGAAGGTCCACTTCATCCTCACAGATGAAAAGAAGTTAAGGTCCCCATGGACAAATGTGACCTGGGCAATCTGTAGGGTGTTGTTTATTGGTGAAGGAAGAGACAGGATCATCTGAAATCAAGCAAGGTTGAGGCAATAAGATCTAAGCCAATGACAAAAAGTGCTAAAGTTATTAAATACTAACTAATTTAATCCCACGAAGAACTAAAACTATTAAAATGAATGATTTTTTATTATTGCCACTTTTAAAGATGTAGCATCCTAGCTTGGAAAGGTTATTTTAAAAATTCATCAAAGCCAGAGAACCAGAAAGTAAAGAAATGACTTAAGTCCAGGAAGACAGGCTTTAAAACATGTTAACACCACATATAAATGTTACATTAAATCTTTTTTTTTAATGGAGGCTTTAAGCTTGGGTCTAAAACCTATAGGTTTATAAAATCAAGTGTGGCTGATGAAATAAAATTGGAGTATATCACCAATTATCTCAGCAGAGTTCTGTTGTTTCTATTCGCTGAAGCCTATTCATCTCTGCTGGAGCCGTCCCTGCAAACTGACCCAACATACCACTCCTTCATCGAGGTAATTTATAAGCCTTTTGAGAGAGGCTGTGAAACTGATGAACCCAGCTGGCAGGGGGAGCAGGTCCTGTGATTGATTCACTCCCTGTTCTCCTGCTCAGCCATTTCACCCCAATCAGGCCACGCTGCCTGGTCCCCCATATCCATCCATCATCCCGTAAACGCCATCAGTGGTGTGGACCACAGGAACCATCTCTGGTGTTTTGTTTTCTTTTTATATGGGACACTTAAACACACTGTGGCTTATCTCTGCTCCTCACCTGAATGCCAGCTCCCAAGAGATATACCAAATGAAACCAAGTGATGAAAAAGATGAGAAGGAACCAGTCTCTCATGTGGCAGAAAGCAGATACTCAGAACCCAATCTGTGATGTCTTCTCTGGTGAACTTGTCTAATCAAGACATGGGTGGCAAAGAAGTCATGCATCTGCTAACATCTGCATCACAACAGACTAGCATTTCTAAATTACCTCCTCTGGAGTAACCTTTTAGAAAAATCTCCAAATACAGCAGCATATCTTTCTGATTTTTTCCAGAACACGTTTTATATGTCACTTTGAAACAGCTAAAAATATGCTGTCAAAAAACCAGCAGAGGTTTTGTGGGGAGAAAAACAGGCATATTGTCACAGAATTGTGTGGAAAATGTGTTTTTAAAAAAGGTGAAAAGGAGCATATAAGGAAAGAAAGCATGTTTCATCCATAAATCATAGCACGGTGCTGTTCTACTGTCCCCATTCTTACAGGCAGATATCAAGATGCTACTTGGAGTGGAAAGAAGTTGGATGGGAATTTCCTCTTTCATAAATGCACTGCACAGACCAGCCTGGTTGCAATCAGAGGAGCCCAATCCCCAGAATGCTGCCTGCTCATTCCCTGCCAACTCTCTCCAGGAATCCCCCCCACCAAAAAAAAAGGGAATGGCTTCAGAAAAGGGTCAATATTATAGTACAGGTACCTCTGGACCTCGGATGGTGCAGTTTGATCTTAAACCATTCATGAGATATGATCATTATTAAGTCAAGATGTGTCTAATGCACCTTACCTGCTTCACTTCCCAGTTTAGTACAGAGTGCATGGCAGAGCATTAGCTGGTTTCCTCGTGATCTCCACCTCTCCAGGCTCCCTGGGAGATGAGATTCATGGCTGCCAGACAACACAGCACCCTCAAGAGAGGACTGTGCCATACACAGCTAGCCTGAAAGAAGACCCAAAATCACAGTTCAGATTACGGTTTCTATTGAATGTGTAAAAGTTTCATGCCATTATAAGCTCCAAAATCATCAGTGGAGCCATCAGAAATCAAGAACCATCTAAGGAAGGCCTGGACCCATTGCCTCAGTCAGGAACCACTCTGAAGGGCCAGCCAAGCTTCTAGAACTCTCTATAGGATCAGCAAGCCCTTCAGTTGAGCCTAGGAGACCTACTCCAGGATCACAGCCTTCCCGGGAACTTGATTCATGGCATTTAAGAAATGGGGTTTACAGCAATTAGACAAAAGAAAGAAGTAAAAGGAATAAAGAAAGGGAATGAAGAAATCAAATTCTCATTACGTGCAGATAACATGATATTCTGTATAGAAGACCCCAAATATCTATCCACCAAAAGTCGTAATAACCAAATTCAGGAAAGTAGCTGGATACAAGGTCAATATACAAAAATCAATAGTCTTCCTGTACACAAACAACAGACTCACTGAGAGAGGAACCGAAGAAACAACTCCCTTCAAAATAGCATTCAAAAAAAGGAAACACCTAGGAATAAATCTAGCAAAGGAAGCAAAAGACCTCTACTCTGAATACTACAGCACTCTGAAAAAGAGATAGAAGAGGATATCAGAAAATGGAAAGACATCCTTTGCTCCTGAGTAGGAAGAACCAATATAGTGAAAATGACCATACTTCCAAAACTGCTGTATGGATTCAGTGCAATCCCAATTGAAATTCCAATAGCATATTTCACAGAACTAGAGAAAACAATCCTACAATTCATTTGGAAGAAGAAGAGACCTAGAATAGCAAAAGAAATTGTAGGCAACAAAGACAAGGTAGGGGGGTATCACAATCCCCAGCTTGAAACTATAATACAAAGCCACTGTGATTTAAAAAAAAAAACAAAACCCAGCATGGAACTGGCAAAGAAACAGTCCCAAGGATCAGTAGAACAGATTAGAATATGCAGAAAGAAACTCCAGACACACTCAGCCACTTCATCTTTGGAGCCAAACACCCTCAGGGGAGGAAAGATAGCCTCTTTCATAAAGGGTGCTGGAAAAATTGGGTTTCAACTTGCCAAAGATTAAAACTAGACCCATATCTCTCGCCATGCACTAAACTAAAATCAAAATGGATCAAAGATCTAAATATTAAAACAGAAAAACTAAACTGGCTGGAAGAGAGTTTAGGTAGAACTCTTGAAGACATTGGCATAGGAAAACACTTTATAAACAAAACCTCTGTCACACATGAACTAGCACAAAGAATCAAAACTTGGGATATCATCTTATTAAAAAGCTTCTAATGAGATAATTGACTACGTGAAATAGGAAGAAAAGGGCTAAAGTTGTAGGGAAAATGGGAAGGGTAGGGGAAAGGTAATAAGGGTAAAGAAAAAAATATGAGAAAATGAAAAAATGGAAATAAAGTGTTTGTAAATGGAGAGGGGAGGAGGGAGTGAAGGGAGGGCACAGACAAGGGGAAAAAATGAGAACTGAGACCTGTCATGTAAAGGTACAAGATCCCAATAATGAATGTAATTGTACTGTACACCTAAAATGTACCAATAAACTCAATAAAAGAAAAAAAAAGCTTCTGCACAGCCATATAAACCACCAACAGAGTAAAGAGATAACCCACAATGTGGGGGAAAAAATTCACTACCTATTTCTCAGACAAAGGTCTACTATTTAAAATAAAGAACTTTAAAAATTCAGACCTCCCAAATTTAAAGATCCATTGCAAAAATGGGCATCTGAAATGAAAGACCATTTCTCAGATGAAGAAGTAGAAACAGCAAATAAACATTTGAAAAACTGTTCAACATCACTGGTCATTCACCACCATGCCCGGCAGAAGTAATGCTTCTTTAAAAATACAAAAAGGAGGCTTGGCATGGTGGGGCACACCTATAATGCCAGCACTCGGGAGGCTGAGGCAGGAGGATCGCTGTGAGTTCAAGACCAGCCTGGACTACATAGTGAGTTCCAGGTCAGTCTCGACTACATAGTGAGACCCTTTCCCAAAAAAACAAAACAAAACAAAAAACACACACATATATATAAAGAAATACTATTCAGTCATAAGCAATGATAAACTAGAGACATTTATAGCCAGATGGTTGCATATTGAGACCATATTCTTAAGTGAAATAAATAGGACACAGATGTGTAAATACCAAATAGTTTCCCTGGTGTGAGACACTGAAAGTGTAAACGAGGGCCAAAATATATAATAGATAGTGTTAAATGGGAAGAAAGGGTCCAAAGGGAAGGGGAAGTGAGAGGGATATGGGAAAGTAAAGAAGAAAAAGAACAAAATATGAGAAAAGAAGGGGAAATAAATAAGGTTTTTGTAAATAGGAAGAGGTAGAGGAGTGTGAGAGAGGGAAAGGGAGTGGGAACAAACGAGAACCAAGATATATCATGTACAGGTACAATTTCCCAATGAAGAAAGCAATCCTAGTGTATACCTAAAATACACCAATAAACTTAATTAATAAAGAAAAGAAATGGGGCCTATAGAATTGAAAGCTAATTGAGATATTGAATGTATCAGGACTAAGTACAACAATAATTATCATGAAAGATTTTCTGAGCCCCCAAATGAAGAGAACCATCTAAAGTGAAACAAGAATGAGTCAGGTAAGAGCAATAACTTCTTAAATGCAACTCTCTCTCAGCTATAGACACTGGTAGAGTTATGAAACCAACCTCCAGTACATCACATCTGTCCAGGTGAGATCAGCTCAAAGCAGTTCATGGGCTCCCTGTCTCCTGTGTTTACCAGGCATTAGAAATGACTCCCTTAGTCTCAACATGCCTATAGAAAAACACACAGGCATTTTAAGAAGAACATCAGGAAGGAAGAGGAAGATGGGCAAATAAGAGGGAAAGTTTGCTGGGTAAGATAAAGAAGAAAAGACATCCATCTGACATGGACGTTGTGTTGGCTGGATTTCCATCACAGCGACGCACAGGTGAGAAAAGTCGACTTATGGGGAGGAAAGGTTTGTTTTGGCTCACAGTTGCAAAGGTTTCAATCCAGGGTCTCTTGGCACTGTTGCTTTGGACCTGTGGTAGAATAGTATATATCGTGGCTGGAGCACGTGACAGAGGACACCTATTTACCTCATAGAGGCTGGGAAGCAAAGAGGGGAGGAGGAGAAGAGGTCATAATTTCCCCTTCAAGGGTATGGCTCCAATGACCTCACTTCCTCACACTAGGCCCCACCTCCTAAAAGTTCCACACCTCCTAGTAACACTACAGGCTAGCAACAAACCCTGACACATTGACCTTTGGGGACATTCCAGATCCAAATTATAACAAGAATCATCACCCTTACTTCCTTACTCATGCTGCCAAGTTGTCTCTGCACTTTGGAGGTGGGTTTGTTTGCAAGCAGTGACCAGCAGTATCACAGATTGCCTGCACTTGCAGCTCTCACACCCTTCCAAATGTTTTTGAACTGCTTAGTTTTACTCACAAATGCCTAGAAAAGTAACTACAACTGATCAACTGGTCCTAGCATGAGCCACATAGCAGTACTAGATGGCCGTTATTTCACTCATTTATGTGAAAGGCCTGTCTCCTCAGGTCTTTGAGTATGGCACCCCTTTTTAATTGGCCATTGACACTCCTTTCTAAATATTAGATTCCACAGCTTTTTAAGTAGATGCCATATTGATTTGGTTCTTCCGATTAGCTCAATGGTATAAGAAATAGAGTAAAATTCTACAAAGCAGGTTAAACACAGCAACCACCTCCAGAGAGGGTCTTGCCCTTGACAATAATCAAAGGAGTAATAACAGACTGTACATATGGAGTGTATTGACATGACTGCAGCCATATTGAGTCATAACCTCTGGGATTGCCCAGAGTAACCCTTGCTGATTTTTTTCTGCAGTTTCCTGGAAAACTATATATAGAGTGTTTCATGAAACTTCAGAGATTTTCCTGATTCTTTGACATTAGCTTAAGATAAAACAGGTACATTCCAGATAGTATGCAGTCATTTCTGTCTTAATCCATATATATACTTCTCTTTATGACCCAAACTGTAGTGATTCACCTGGTCTTGCAGCTGCTCAGAACTGTGCTTTCACCAGCAAATTTCCCAATAATTGTACTCTGCAATCCTGGATGCATCTGCCTCTCTCTGGTCTCTGGGCAGTTTAGGGGTGGCCTTCATACACTAGGACTGCACTGTTCCAGGACAAGGAGAAAGAATCAATCAGTTCATGCTCTGGGAAAAATACCAGACGGTAGCTCATGGTAAAAATAACTGTAACTGTAGGAGGATATGTGAATGTATAGGTAAACAGAGAATTTCTATACCTCCTCAGAAAACCTTGATGACCAAGAGTTTCTCTTCCCAAGCAGGTGTCAATAAAGCAGTTGCAGTATTGTATGATGATTTCACCTTTTTCCTTCCTGCTTGCCAGCAGTTTCCAAGAGTCAATGCTATTCAGGAAAATGAGAAAGCTAGCCTTCTCCATTCAGTCTTCACGTGAGATTATAGTTCTGTCTTGGTGTTTTTCTTCTCAGTCTTGCCCTTCATTATATGTGAGCCAGATTAGGTTTCTGGAGGTGGAACTTAAGTCAAGAAATTACTTTCCCTTGGTTTTAGTGTAAAATTGGACAGCCCATGTAACATGACCCAGTAGCTTACCTTTCCAGCTCTTCTGCTGATTAATCCTCAGTACGTATGGCTATTGCATACACAGAATTGTCCAACGCTAAAAATTAGGCTTCATGTATTACTTAAAAGAGAATTCTCTTCTATATCCTGAATGAACTCTCCTCAATTTAATTCCAAAAATATATCTAATAGATGACTGACAGTCTGGGGATGTTGCAGAAAGTTGGATCTAGAATAATTACACTGAAAATTATAAATTTTTTCCCAGAACCCCTCTACCCAACCACACAGTCTCAGGCTCCTCCTCATCCTGTTCATAAAATCCCTAGCAATAGTTAAGAATCAATTACCAAAAGCTGGACACAACAACATGGGATTCTTCAAGTCAGTGTATCTTTCTACCGGGTTAGTTCCTACTTTAGTCTCATAACTTTGCCTCTTTGTACAGCTAGGCCAAAATCAGCCTCATATATATCTAAGTGACCAAGTTTCTCCAAATGTCAAATGGAGTTACTAGGAATAGTAGGTAAATTACACATGATTAATTTTTAAAACTGCAAAGTATTCACATCAACATAATTATTACTTTTAAGATTAATGTATTATTAATATATTACATTAAAACATTAGTTCCCTGACCATTCTGGACAACTTTTCTTGGAATTCCTTAAAACTTTAGTTTTATATAAATATCGCAGCTCTTTTCTATAGGGAAAAAAGGATACATTCTTTTTTTTTTTTTTTCTGTACCAGGGATCAAACTTGGACCCTTGTACTTGCAAGGCAGGTGGCAGAACCACTGAGCCAAATCCCAGGCCCCAAGGATACATTCTTGAGAGGATCATAGAGACAACTTCATAACCTGGAGGCCACACAGTCAAAAAGATGAATAGCAGGAAAGAAACTTAGAAAGCAAGACAAATGGGTGTGCAGTGATATCGTAGGCCCTAGGTTGGCTCAAAACAGAACAGAACCAGCCGGACATCAGGTATACACCATAGAGTTGAAACCAGTATGCACCAATGGTGTGCTCACTAAAAGGGAGAAGAGAAGGTTGGCTACCTGCTGCTGCATCTCAGACCCTCCCAGCTGGACTGGTTGTGCCCCTTCTGACAGGGAGACCAGCCCTGAACACACTACAAAAGGTTTCAGTCCTGGGAGGACTGTGCCCTTATCACACAGGATGATCTTCCTATGATGTAGAGACTTGCAGATAGGAGGCTGAATGCAATAATGACTTACTGGGTTTTACATGGCAGCTTCTGGAAATCCGTTCTACACTCTTGGCTTCCTTGAGCTGTAAGGTGGTCCAGCCACAGATGTTACAGCTGGATTGATTCTGCTCTTCTCTACTCTTCATGCCTAGGGCAGCTGTGTCACCTGAGTTGCACTTATGATTACATTCTTCCGTGTTTTGCTTCTGCTGATGTCTGCTAAATGGAATGGTTAATTCAATAAAACCCACTTCATTATTAATATTTTTGCCTCAAATCATTCTGTTGGCTGGGATTTTTATCTCTCATTGTGGCTGCATTCCTTTTGTTATGAGAATCTCTTTCTATTCGTGTTAGTCATACTACTAATAATGCTCTGTCTCATGGCAGAACGCATCACAGTTATCAACTCACTGAAAAGTCATCTTATCACAATGTTCCTGCATCTCCAAACATCAAATTCTGGCAGGAAACTATTAAAAGAACAGAAAAAGGTTATTGTGCTGCCTGTCACCCTTTGGACTTAATTTGTCAGGAAACAGCACTGACGGAGAGCCCTGATGTACTGTGTGGAGCTTTCCCTAGAACCCCTGTACCTCCAAACTGGGAAGGTGGGTTGCTTGTCTTGGAAAGAGCAGGGGAGATGGAGCCCTCCAGTGCCAAGCTGCCAACAGGTCTCAGGAGGAAAGAGAAGAAACAAAATGGAAGCACACCAGGCCTGACCACGTCCCCAGAGCTCTGGAAGAACTTTGGGGTGAACAGCAAGTACTGCTAAAACTTTGGTAAGGACAACAGGCATCTTCCGCTCCAGAAACCTGAGCCAGACAAAAACCTCCAGGAATTTCATGTATGACATGTGCATCCACAGCCACAGGATGCTATACGGGGGAGGACCAAGGACAGGGCATAGGAGGCTAGAGGCCTGAAACTTCTTCAAAGGAAGGAAAAAAACATATTTTGAGCAGTTCTGCTAGGGTGAGCCCAAGGGTGGAGGGAGACTCAGTGTAGTAGCCCTAATTGCTTCTTGAATACTGTCCTCCTGTTGCCTTGTCAGCCTTTATTCTGTGGGAAGTTGTCAATTCGACTCTTCAACGGGTAAGTTTGTTATCAGCAAGCGGTTTACAGCCCCTGGGCTGTGCATTAATTAAAACGGCTTTGTGCAGTCTTATTCATTAGCACGCTGCTTCTTTAATCACTGCCTCTTCAGCCACCAGGACAATCTATAAATCTCCTCAAATATGAAATTATGAAGTGGAATGCTTCAATTTATTACAATGTAATAAGTCAAGATAATATGGGGGTGGACAGGGCAGCATAGATGCGGGCTGCTGGCCAGCACCGCCCTCCTCATTACCTGAGGCCCCTGGACACACAGCTGGGGACAGAGTAGGTCGGGTGGAGGGGCTGTGAATGCCACCAGCCCTGGGCATGTCTCATCCAGATGGGCACGGACTGGCCGGAAAGGATGGTGAGACAGAGACAGAGACGGAGACCCAAAGGAAGTTGTGATGCTGTCTGTTCATCCATAAGGCCCAGGAAAGAGGAAAAGGTCTTTGCATCCAACACCTGAGGAAGTCTTCCAGAGGAGCAGGAGCAGGCTGGGCAGGCAGACGGCATCTGCACGAGGTGTCCAGGGAGCACAAAGGGGACTGCCACTCAGCTCTTGAATGCATCAGCCTGAATTCCACACCCTAAATGCGCATTGGAATCACCTGTGGAGCTTCTACACCCACTAGGTCCAGCCCACCCAGGTGAAAGAGGAGAGGTTCTCTAGGGTGAGACTAAGGATCAGCAACTATGAGACCCTGGTGGCTAACGCTAATGTGCAGTCCCCAAGCCATGTGTTCCTCCTACAAGAATCCTTAAGGTGCTGATTGAAGAGATTAATTCCCAGGCTTCTCCCCTAGAGGACTGGTGGATTAGCCTGAAGTTGTGGAGTCCAAGAATCAATATTTTTATCAATTGATCCCAAAGATTCGTAGGATAAAGCACATTTGAAAACCCCTGAGCTGCCTCTAAAAACTAGCCCTTACTATCCCCCTTCCTCCTTCTAATCCAGTGATTATCAGCTCTTCCTCACTGTAGTACATTGGTAGACACTGTTCATATGACTGACGCCCTTCTGCCAGGGAAACCAGATTTTCCCCTAAGATTGTGATAAATAGAGGAAACAACATGATGGTATAAGTTTTGGCATGCTAACTATAAACTCCTTTCATTCACAGATTCCTAACTCCATGTCCCCA